CATATTTTGACCCACCACTGTCCCGCCCTTCTGTTTATGTTTTTAACACTGTTTCTTATTTTTGAAATTAAATTATCTTTTACAGGAAAATCGTAACAGTAATTTTTATCCAATTAATTGTTTAGTAAGAAGTAAGCCAGTGATTGTTTCAGAGCTCACAAGTCAGTTTATTTCCGTGTTTCGTGTTTAACAGATTTATTTACGAGAATATTCTTTCTATTCCATTAGCTGAAGAATGGGGCAGACACAAGATATTCTCAACAAAACGAGACAGAATCTTTGCAATAAAGTCTCTTACAATATATAAGAAATGAAGGTACAAAGAAATGTTTTATTGAGAATTTTTAGATACATTGAAAATAAAAATTTCTTTCTTGAATTATCGTAAACTTTTCGGTAGATTTGGTGCTTCAATCGGTAGATCGGTAGATCGGACCCAAAATCGGTAGATTCAACCGAAAATTCGGTAGACGTGGCAACATTACCCCTTGAACAATTTCCTCTATTCTCGACGCCAATGCGCCCCCACTGTGGCTCACCAGAAACTTCCGTCCACTATTGGCTAGTCTGTCCGCAATATACACGGGCCCACCAAGAGGTAGGCCGTCTCTTAACCTTGGACCTTACGATCGTCCGAACCTTAACTCCGATATACTGGCCTCATACCGATCTTCTTCCTCGCCAACATATCGAAATCTTGGAGCGTTTTGTTCACCGCACCAACCGCTTTACCTAATTTCTAAGCGGAGTGATTCGGAGAAAAAGCCAACAGGCTAGAGTCTCCATATTAATAAGATAAGAAAGAAAGAATGCTGCCACTCGCATGCGACTCATATTGATCAACGCGAGTGTGGTCATGTGCGAACGGGCTAAAGTGGTAGAGAGTATGCCGTATGAGTCGAAGTTTGTTCGGCGGCTCTATCTCATAGATTCATAAGTTATAAGGCTGCGGTGAAATGAGGTGAGGTAAAATTGGAGTTTATGTTCGAAGAGCCGCAAACGTCTATGCAAAGAGCCGCATGCGGCTCGCGAGCCGCTAATTCCGACCCCTGATCTAGTTCGTTGTTCATGTGCGTGTGTACCGTATTCAAGGGTTGAATAAACTAAATAATTATTCACTTTACACCGTCTATTCGAGGTAAAATCGGTCTATATAAAACTATACAACCTTTTTCGTTGTTGCAGATGCTATAAGGGAAAAGTGCCAGGAAAACTAAATTTAAAAAAATTTGCTATACAGTAATAAATGCGGGGAATCAGCGGAAATTATACGGGGATATCACCAACTAAGATACGATAAAATAAGGACTGAAATACTGTATATATATATATCTCAGTCCTTATTTTATCGTATCTTAGTTGGTATTCCCGTTGGAATCCAAGAAACTGATATATATATCAGTCCTTATATATATATATATATACATACACACATATATATATAATCGGAAGTGACATATATTTCAAGGACAGTGAATGAAACGAACAAAATACGGCACACGTAGTTCACAGATGATCTAAACACTGGTAAACTAAATTAAACGAACTATAATGTGAATTAGAATGCAGAAGCAATATGAAGGTCACTGAACTAAAAGAACGAACTAGTTCATTGAGGTGTAATGAACTAAATTGACCAATCTTTAAAGTGGACTAAAACGAACAAGACTAGTTACAACTGTCGAATCCGCCGAAGGCCAAGGTCTTAGATCCACCATACTCAACCTTGTTTTCTCTCGGGCCACATACACGTGATAGCTATTAACGCTGGCCGCAACATAAAAATTATAATAAAAAACTTAATTTTTCACTTACCCTAGAAATTTAGTGTGACTGTTGATATTGCAAAAATTTTTTCACATTTCATTTAAATCTGTTTTTTTTTATACTCTTTCCGCCCTATGGGCATTAAGAGGGCCTCTTACAGCAGGCCCATTATGAGTTCGGCCAGACCCACAATGGTGCTACCGGGTGGTGTGGGACGGGGCCCGACATATTCGAACGGACCACCCCCGAAAAATTCCTGGGGGATTCTCTGACCCAACTGGATTCGACCCGGGTCCCCCAGAGTGGTTAGGCTGCCACCTTGACTGCTCGGCCATCTGGCCGTCAATTCATTTAAATCAGGTTTGTAACTGCAGCATGCAACTCGTAAAACGGCATCCAGGTGTGAATCAGTGAGCTAGTTTCTATATATGTTCTTTGCATATTTCATTTTCAAGTATGACGTTTCACATAGATACTTTGATGCGGACAACGTAAGTAAAATCTGAGCACTTTTTTTACAGTCTTATATTGATCAGGCACTACTTTCCAGAAGTGGTAACTATTTCCAGAAGTCAACCTAATTATTTTCCGCTCTCTTTTACGTCCAGGCCACTCTCAAAAGCTCAGCGGGCCGCAGGTTGAGTATGGTGGTCTTAGATTAGTATATAATCTAAGACCTTCGCCGAAGACAGTCTGCAGCTAGACGCTGGCAACGCCACCTGAACGACATTAACGAAAACTTAAAATTTATAACGGGAAACTACAGCCCAATTATCACCAAGAAAATCGAAATAATTGGCTAAAGAAATAAATAATACGACATAAATTTTTACGTATATTTTCAAACTTATATATTGGCGAATTTTATATTTAAGGGCAAAAATTCCGATGAATACAACATAATAATTTTATTTTTAATAATTTAACGATATTAAAATATTAGACGGCGCCGTGGAAGCCAAAATCGAGCGACGATTAAGACGACGTCTGGGAAAGAAAATTAGATTTTTGTAGTATAGGACGGAAGAAAAGTGCATAAAATGAGTGTCACTCTGAACGAAATATTCGATAAGATACTCGGCACCGAGGAGAGAGCGGAATCCAAGAAACAGCATTTAATGCAAAGTACGAATAATTTATGGCAATCAATTATTTATATTTTCGTCGTCTGTTTAAAATTCGATTTGTTCTTCCAGTTAAAAATAAGATTGCCAAGTTACAACTGAAAGAGAAAGAACTGCAAGAGGAGAAACTTTCTTTGAAAACACAAATTTTGATTAAAGTAACTTTAACCTTTGAATAATTTAATGCTAATGAAAAGTGATTTAGTAAATTAAACGCGCGTCACGTATAAAAAGTTACGGAATCCCTTTAATACTGTACTGTACTTTATTTTATTTTAATTTATTCGTCTTTTCCGTAGGCGCGGCCAAGGGGATATTCGCTAGACTCCTTTAAAAGGTTTCCCACTCCGTCTGAATCTAAAGCTGTGGCCACGGCCGTTAATCGGCTTTAAACTGCTTTATCCTCATTTAATAATATATTGCAGCCTACGTTTTTTTTAACGTCATTTATATCCTGTATGACGATCGTGTTTTTCTATACGCGAAATTGATTTTAACTGATTAAATTGCCAATGATTTAAATAATCGAATTAAATCGCAATGAGTAAATCTTACGCCAGAAATTTAATGTAAAATTTCTTTATGTATTTCGTAACGTAATTTACGGGCGGTCGGCCTCCCGCACTTGGTCGCTCGGGTTCGAATCCAGGATGGGTATGATTAAAAGAAAGACTTACGGGGCGGAAAAAGTAAAAAATTCCATATGTAAACTAATATTTAACCGAATATTTTTCAGACGCAGAAGTTGTGCGAGCGGCAGAGATTTTTACAATGTTTACGGAACAAAGAAATTATTTTTAAAGAACAAAAGGAGGAACTTCTTCGTAAAAAAGCCGAGATTACCGAAGACCTGGTAGCAATTTATTTTATTTTACGACGAATTTAAGCCGTAATTTTCAAAAAATGTCATTTCCTTTAGAATGTGGTAGAAGAAGAATTGGCCGTCGAAAGAGAAAAGTTATGCCACCGAGTGGAAGAATTTTGCGCGGATTTTGTCTGCTTTGACGAAAATAAATGTCTAAGACGCCAAAAATGTAAAAATGAATTAACGGCCTTAAAATCGGAAGAACAAAAACTGCTTTATGGTAATAATTTTATTACAGTAGAACCTCGAAAACTCGGCCTAATGTGGACCGAAGGGTGGCCGAGTTTGTGAAAATGCCGGGTTTTCGGGAATGGGGTTAAAAAAATAAGTACGAGTGTTTCCTCAGAAAATACTGTACTGTACTTGTATGTATTGGTTACTTGACAATATAACAGAGAATAAACTGCCCAAATACCCTTAAACAAAGGAAAAGTACGTCCTTTATGAAGGCATAGAGCCTTTACTACATGAAAATGAAAATTAATGAATACACTGTGTACAGTAATTTACCTGATAAGACA